TTTTGTCAGTGTTGTCAAAACTTGGCCATTTTAGGATGAGTGGACTTCAACTCCCGGAATCCCCCAGCCAGCATGGCTGGCTGGGGAATTCTGGGAGTTGAAGTCCACTCATCTTAAAGTGGCCAAGTTTGGACAACACTGATGTATGGTTTATGGCAAGTGAAGCTTGATGGAGTGGTGGGGCAATGGACCTTGAGTTGAAATACTCTCATGGGTGTCTTTTTCAGGCTCTGAAGAAAAGTCCAACATAGAAGTGATCATCTTGGTTTGCACTGGTTTAGCAGCCACTCTCTTTTGGCTCCTTCTGACCCTCTTCATACGGAAACTCAGAAAAGTAAGATGATCTTCATCATGTTTTCAACCTAGAAATGCATCAGTTTAGATGCTGAAGGAATAGTAGTACTCAACTTCGGTGGTGCCAGGAAAGGCAGAGAAAAGTCTTCACACACCCACAGCTGTTTAGCCCTGGAAAGTTAGCTGGAGGCAGCTTCTAAAGCAGCCATGTGATTCTGGAAAAAGACATGGCTGCTTCAATGATTCAAAAAGAGGCAGTTTCCACATCTCTCACATTTTTGAAAGCACCACTTTTGAAAGATTTGCCCAGCCCTAATACCATGGGGATATAAGGAGTGGGTGATGGGAAAAGAATTGTTTTCTAAATGTGAATTCTGTATCTCTATCATTTATGAGCACTACTTGGTTTGTAGATGGCAGGGACTCATTTCCCTAATCCCTCCTTTCCCTAATCATTATGCAAAGGTATGATCAATTCTGGGCTGTGTCACCAGCAGAAAAATGTGAAATACCAAGCGAAGGCTGGAGCAGAACACCAACATTTCTAGTCGCCTGGAAATCCATTTAACTTGCTATAGATGACTAAACAAACCCATAGTTATACATCCATGCAAATGTAGAAAGAATACAAGCTGGTGAATGAAAATGAGGAGAAGGTAGTTTACATGTTCCTTAGGAGAAAGAAGTGTCACCTTTGTTCAGACCTTTGCACGGATGAAGCTTCTGTCTTCTCACCTCATTCTGTGTTTACAGGCTCCATCCACCTTCTTCCAATTCTCATGTTAGGGAGTTTCTTTTTTCTTTCTTTCAGCCGGATGCCACAGATATTAAAACCGGATATTTGTCCATCATAATGGATCCAGAGGAGATGCCCCTCGATGAGCAGTGTGAACGTCTTCCTTACGACAGCAACAAATGGGAATTCCCAAGGGACAGACTGCGGCTGGGTATGTGGGACCTAGGCAAACTTCTGGGGGGGGGGGGGTGGCCTTGAATATTCTGGGAATCTTGCCTAAGTCACCCTTCCAAGAATTCCTAATGACTATGCTGGCTGGCAATTTGCAAAGTTGTAGCTGAACACATCTGGGGAACATCAAGCTGGGCTGGCTTGGACAGCTAATAGTCCAATTGTATGTTGTAGGATTCAGCATGATGATAAAGATTCTAATCCATTGATTATGGGAGGGGTGGTCAGGCAGGTGACTTCCAGATGTTTTGCATGAATGATTATGGGAATTGTAGTGCAAAAATCTGAAAGAGACTGTGTCATCTGTCTCTGATCTAATGGATATCTTCAGCTTCATACAGAACATAGACTAGAATTGTTAGGCCTTGTCACTGCTCTGAAGAAAAGAGAAGAAAAGTGTTTTACATATTTCCCTGCTGCAGCTAAACATTGCAGAGGATGGTTGGATAGAGGTGGGCAAGGTGTCTCTTTCATACTGTGAAAGAATGGTCCCATTGCCCACTTTCCTTTTTAATGAAATGTTAGCATGTCCAATTTGTTTCTTGTTTCAACCCCAAATTCAGTCTGTTATCTTGGTGAACAATTCATGGGTTTATAAACTGGAAGACATATTTGCCAACCTGAATGAACCTTATATGGGCCATAAAGTTTTTATGAAGTATCTTCAAATCCCATAATATTCTGCAGAAGAAAAAGTGGCAATATCTACAAGCATAAAAGGCAGAGAATCATTTTTCAGTCGTTTATGGTTCACTAATTGAAACACAAAGATGAATCCTGGGATTTTATCCAACACAACAGTCTCTGTGGTTAGAAAATCCACTACTTTCTCAATGAAATGTCAGCTTGCCACAGTCCTTTCCCACTTTTTAATCCTTCCTTAATGTTTTAATATTTTGCCCACGAATCCTGCCTACCTGTTCCCAATGGATGTGAAAACAAGAAAGATCTACATAATTACCAATCTTTTTCTACTATTATTTGGAGGAGGAGGAAGAGGTGGACTAAAGTGAAATTATTTAACTGAATAATGAAGGTTGATGGAAGCATGAAAGCTCTTTAGCAATGCATAATTTTGCAAGCTTTTCTGAATTCTGGAAATGATTCTTAACTGTTTTGTATGTTCCCTGAAATGTATGGTTCTTCAGTTTTGTGTGTTTTTCTCTGTGTGTTTAATTTTGTATTATTTCATATGTTTATAAACTCTGTTCCGTTTATACATATGTTCTAGCATGTGATACAGACTTTCTGCTGCATGTTTCTGGGACTCTGCCATTTTGCAAAAAAAAGAAGTGGATGTTTCTCTTACATGCACTTTTTATGTGAATATGGCAATTCTTTGCAAATTCAGAGGAAGCACGGGGTGTGCTCTTGGGGGCAGAATCCATGTTTTTGAGAATTTCCTTCCTTCCTTCCTTTTTTGGAAAAAAAAAAGTTTTCCCTGTTTGGTTACAAAATTATACTGATTATACTCAAAAAGAAATATTCAAAGGGTTCTTTGACTAAAAAATTTCTTTGGGGAAAACAGCTTGCAGTGTCATCGACCTGCATAATCTAATAATTGTCTCCATTTTTTAAATATTTATTTTATTATGCAAACTAATAAAAATGCATGTAACAGCAGTGAATGATCAACAGAAACTCAACATTAAAAAATAGAGTAATAAGAAAAATAAGAAAAAGGAACAAAGGAAAGTAATGACTGGATATTGTGATATAAGCAGAGATGTTTATATCATAACGTTTCCTTCCTTCCTTCTTTGAAAAAACAATTATGATTTTCTTTTCCCCATTATGGTTAGAAATTTATATTTGAAAGTAATACATCCTCAGAAAAATGTCAGGGGTTGTTTCTGCAAAAGCAAGAGTCAATCCTGAAAAAAAGAGAGAGGGAAAAAAAAGTGTGCAAAACAAGAGGAATTACAGAACATTTTTTTTTTTGCTTTGCAGAACTGTTTTTGCAGAACAAGCTTGTCTTATAGTAGAATTTGAGTGTCGCAAAGCAGGTCTCTCTGCTGGTCTTGCTGCACCCAACCCTGCTTCTTTTCAATGCCTAGTGTTGCGATGCTGTCTGGCTGATTCTTTCCTCTTGCTTCTCTAGGTAAAACTCTGGGTCATGGTGCTTTTGGGAAAGTGGTGGAAGCATCTGCTTTTGGCATAGATAAATCTTCAACCTGCAAAACAGTGGCTGTTAAAATGCTTAAAGGTACACTTCTCTGAGACTCCTCAACAGTTCCTTCTGAAACCCAAAGCCGTTTGTTTCACAATAGGTTTCCGTACGATCAGAAACACTGCAGTTAAAAATAGAATAAGGATGGCATTTTTTAAAATTATTCTTCCCTCTCTCCTCCTTATAGTTCCTCTGGAGTGCAGTGGGCAATGTGGTGCCAAGCCTAAGGACACCTTTATGCCTATCGTTGTGTCCTTGAGCAATCCTGCCTGATTTGGCTGTATTGTTTTTCAGTTGCTTTCAGTGGGAAAAAAGTAGGAAGCCAACATCAGCCCTAGCATATGTTTTTTAAAAATTACAGCTATGTTTTTGGAACCTAGGCAAGAGCTCCTCATAAATAAAGATGTCGGGTGGCTGAAGTTCAATGCTTCAGCTGAAGGGGTGCACACAGAAAGAGGGTGGGCCAGGGAGACACCATCCCAGGGAGATAGAAGAGGTAGTTTGCCTTCAGGTTAGAAATTTTGAGATTGGACACATCTACCCTGTGACCTTCCTAGAAATAGCCAAGCCTCCTCACCATGGCAACCATGGTGAGAAATCATCCTAAACATGGTCCCATCTCAAGAACACCCACTGGTACAGTTATCACCTTCTGTTGCCCCAAGTCGCTGCTTTTTGCCTCTTCCCATCTCAACATGTGAATTATACATGATGGCAGGTGAGATGGTCCAAGGTAATGGCATCCACCCAGACTTGGGATCAAGGTTGATTTTAGTGCTCTTAGGCAGTTGCTGAACCTTCCAGAGCATCTGTGTTGAAACTGGTCCTGAGTCCAATGATGCAACCTCTAGGTTTGACATGATGAAACAGCATTGCTGTGAGCCCTTGTCAAAGATCTACAGGTCAACCTGCGGTAGGACAATGTGGAGGACCTTGCTGAGTTGACCACCAGGTATGCCTATGCTTAGAGTTCCTCCAGAAAGCACACAAGAACTTTTCCTGCCAAAACCACCTGAGTGTGGGCCTGGCCTAGTGGAAGTGTGCAGGCTCTGTGTGCAGAAGATCCAAGTTCAGTCTCTGGCATGTCAGAGGTTAGACACTATAAATATGTTCAGCTAACCAGATTCATGCCCTCATTTCAGGCATGCTCCATCAACATACCAAGAGATTGGGGTGAAGTGGGTGAAGCTGGAATATGTATCCTCTTGTTTCCTAATGCCTGGAGGGGGTTCAGTGTTAGAGAGATTAACAAGTGAGCACCACAATTTGCAATTCATCTGACCTCAGATTAGTGGTGAGGAAGGAAGGAATCTAGATTAGGGTGTAAGCAGCCCACACAATGAGAGGGAGATGATACAATCAAAGGTTTGTATCTTTTCAACTCAGATATATGAATTTCTAGTAGTCTAGATACCTTAACATTTAAGTATTTAAAGCAATTAGAAGGGAATTGTGCCAAGGAAGCAGATGAAGGGCACAAACTTTCTCAACATAAAGGAATGTATTTTCTTTCCAATGAGAAGATTTGAGCCATCTGGTATCCCCTAATGACATTTATATACCAGTTCTCTGCAGATACTCAATGAATAAATACATCATTTAGCATATTAATTGATTGGAATAGTCGTTTTTAAAATATATTATGGATTTTTGTCTAACTATGTGAGGGATGGACCAATTTCTTTCTTCGCTGCCACATCTTATTGTTGATTAAGCTTAGTGCCTCTTTTGCTTCACAACGCAAAACCTTCTCTTAGACCTTTGCACAACTTTTGGTCAGTCTTCTCCTTATCCTTTTTTGTAAGAACACAATTTCTTTGAGCACCCAGCATTCCTTTCAAGGCCATCAAGAATAGCCACTATTCTCTATTTAGTAATATTTTCAAGGGTCCTTTCACACATTGTTTTCCATGCTTTGGAATAATCCCACATGGAAGGACACAATGGAAAATGTCATCCTACAATTTGCCAACTATGTGGATTGTTCAAGAAATGTTTCCAAGGAAAACAGTAATTCTCGGCAACCATTGTCCACAGTTCTTTTCTGAAAGTCATTGGAGTGAACAATCCTTATTGTAAGAGGCAAAGCTATTGCGTGATGATAGTCTATGTTGCCAGAATTATTAAGTGCTAATTTTAAGTCCAAGAACAGGTGTATGATTTGCACGTCTCAGCCTAAGTTCAGCCTGCTTTTGGTCTAATTTCAAAGGTCGTCTTCAAGTAAGCAATTTTCTCTACAGGTAAAAAAAGGAACAATTTGTTCAGGCCTCCTGCATGGAGAGAAGGAGACAGACAAGGAAAAGCATCTAGAGAGAAAAAGAGGATGAGAGACAGAGGAAAAAAAGTGCCAGAAACCAAGAGAGGAGATATTGGCTTCCATTTTGAAATGGACTCCTCCCATTGCTTGCTTAAGTTCCACCCACTATTATGGCCATTCCCTGCTAGTAGACATACCCAACGTCAGCTCTTAGGTCTGCATTGAGCCTTTCAAAGCCTTGGGTGGGAACCCAAAGTTCTTCCAAAAGGTGGCACTGAATTGTAAACTTGAATGGGAAAGAAAAAAAATTAATAAAATCATTGATATGGTTAATAGTAATCATATCAGTGGAATGTAATGAAGGAGATTTAAATTTAATTCTATCTAAATTGAAATGAAGAAAAGCCAGATTGTAGTGTAAACCATCATGGGACCATGGTAGTAATAATAAATAAAACTCAAGCAATGAATGAAGTTGGTATCCCCTCTCACCCTTCCGGGCCATTTCTCAATCCACCTTACGAATGGTTGCTCTCCAGGGCAGCCTCCAAAGCCAGGTGTGTCCTTTGATCTAAACATTTTGGGAAGCTCCATCCCTCCAGATTACTCCCAATGGAATGTAGACCTCAACAGGACAGAAAGTTGCCACAACTCTTAGAACTCCCATTGTTGTCCAATGGTCAACATTCTACTCTGCTTTTCTGGCAGGAAATTGGGAGCAGAAAGGCTTTTCCAGAACAGCTCAACCTCTCATCCTCTCCTTGCAGATAAGAGACTCTGAGAAGGTCAAGGCAGGAAACTGTGCCTTATCTGATGAGAAGATTCCTATGCAGAGACCCTAAAAGAGATCAGGACATGCTTTGTTTTTTCCCATGGCCGTGTTTGCTTCCCTTTCAAACATAAACAGGATTAGACTCTTCCAGCTGATGATATCCTGTTGTGTAAAGATACTTGTGTCCTCTATCTCAAGCAGAGTGTGCAACGACCAATGAATGCAAGGCTCTGATGTCGGAACTGAAGATCCTGATCCATATTGGACACCATCTAAATGTGGTCAACCTATTGGGGGCGTGTACCAAGCCGGGAGGTGAGCATTAGCTGATTCCTTGGTTCTGTAACTTAACAAAACCCAAAAATTCTGTATTAAAATGAATCAGTGCCAAATATGTCTCCCGATAGGTGGTGAAACAAACCACATTAAGGTGATGTGTGACCATCCCTAGATGGACGTGAAAAGTCTCCTGCTTGTAACATAGCACAGGGAAGCAATTTGCTGCCATCCAGTTGTTCTGGGCTACAACTCCCACAGTCCCTCCAGCAGATGCGAGTTGAAGTCCAAAAGAAATGGAAAGTACAAGGTGGCCTATCTATGCAAAAGTCAGAAGGCTGAGCTAAACTTTTTTTTTTCCTGATGGACCTTTCTTATGCCAGAGTAGAATTTGGGATTGTGAGTGAGTGAGTGAGTGAGTGAGTGATTTATGAAAGGAGAATGTTCAGGAAGGCCACCTGCAACCTGGAATGGCAAGACTAAGAATTGTACCACTCATTGGGCATAATATCGTAGAAGATCTTTTAAGGCATCTGGGATGTCCTGGTTGGTCCCCCATAATCTTGATGCATAGGTTGAATGCCACTGCACTCATGTCAAAGATCTTTTTTTTAAGTAAATTATGGCTGTTGAGACCAGGAGAAGGCAAGCAAGCCATCTGCATCTCAATCCATGTTATCTACGTCACAGGAAAAAAAGTTCCAATATGTGTGCAAAGGAATGGAAAGGGGCATTTCACAAAGCACAACCACGCGAGTGCAGGATCTTTAGTTGACATGCTAAAGCTGTTCCCTTGGAAAGGTTCTTGATCATGCTTCAGAGGCTGCCACTGGCTGTCTGAAGAAGGATGTGCACGCATGGCTGCTTTGCCTCACTAGTAGCCACAGTGGAAGTGTTATCTGTGTCCGCACATGCACACCCCCCAAAAGTAGAAACTGCCTTGCAAAGCAGCCGTTCAAGTCTTCCAAAGGAGAGATTTGCTTTACTGCTTAATTTGTGCTCACATGAAGCCCCCGCTGGATACTTCGCCCAAGTCTCGTGTCTACCATGATGTTATTATTATTGTTAGGACCATGGACATATGAATCACATTGGCGTAGCTGCTGAGATATCTGTCTTCTAGGGCTCCTAAACCAGCTGCCCAGTGAGGGCATAGCTTAGATGCAGATGAAAGAACTTGTAATTATACGCAGGAAAATGCAAAGTATAAATAGAAATCTGGGTTGCCTCTATATTTTATGTAAAGGGGTTCAGCTCAGAACTAAATCAAATGCTTCTGATTTGGTTTGGACATTGCGGACCTCAAGTGTACACAGGAACGGCACACTCCATATTGCATGGGAAATTGGACAATTTGATTTTAATATCTGAATCAGATCAGTTTTCCAAACTGGGTTGAAGGATTGGGTTGAGCTTCCAGTTCTTACCTATGATTCACACAGGATTTTGCCCAGTTTGCACAGATTGGCTTCTGCATATCAGTACAGGTAGTCCCCAGTTTAAGAACAAGTTCCGTTCCCAAGATCTGTCCTTAAGTCGAATTTATATGTAAGCTGGAACAACATTATTGTATAATACTGTACAAATAGTATTGTGTAATGAACTCGAACCATCATGCATTTAACTCAATCATTGTGTATTTAATTCGAATTTTGCTACAATAGACTCCGTTCTTAACTATGGGTCATCCTTAAACCGGGCGTTCTTAACCCGGGGACTACCTGTACTAGAAAGCAAAACTGTATCTAGGATTTAAAAAGAATTATTATTACACACCTCAGTTCCAGTCTAACTCAGGGAATCCCAGTTCAACCTATCTATATAAGTTTCTAAGTATTTAAAGAAGCTGAGGTTGGAAGATCTAGTAGCACGTAGTAACTGCAAGTATTTGGGGGCAAGCACATTTTCCTTGTTGTGTTGATGTCTGTGTGTGTGTGTATGTGTGTATTTATATGTACTGTATATATGCCAGCTTTTCGGTCAAAGAAGCTAAGGCAGAACCCAATAACATAAAAACGCAGCACCCCCTTGTTTTTGAAAGCATTCATAGCGTGTTTGGGGCTCTTTATGATGCTCGTTCTATCTGTATAAACATGCCCCACAAGATGATTTAGACTGTAGGAAAATTACCTTAATGTATCATGCAAACTAGCTGGAGAAACAGGGAAATAAAGAAAGCAGTAATAATCATGGAATGCGATTGGCAAAAATAGGGGAAAGTAAGCACTGAAGATCCGCATTCAGTGCAGTTCTACTGAAACCCCTACATTAAAAAACGATTTTCGCCGAGTTTTATCAAAGTTACGTTCCAAAAGCAAAATATGGCAAATGCCACGGGGAAAAATAGAGTAAACCAAAGCAACAAAGATCAAAAGATGAGCCAGTTAACGTAAGGAGTGTGCAGTGTTTTTTTCCCATGCCTTAGGCCACACGTGGCTTATGAGATGCAGGATGCATTCTGCAATAATCAGTAGGAAAAGAACATTAACTAGATGTGATGGTTACGTGGAAATGATTCTCCAGGCATGCATTTAATCATTTTCCTTTCTATCTCATTTTAAATTCCAATTTGGTAACAGACTTTGGAGGATTTAGGGTTCCTGTGCAGCCTTGGGGCTCAGGATGGACCCCTCTGATGTCCATGATGATGGACAACTTGCTGATGGCAAAAACACAACACAACAACACAACACAAAAAAAGGTCATGTGACCTGGCTGTCCTATATGAAGAAAACAGAGAAGAAAACTAGGCTTTGGGGCAGGTTGGGAGTTAATCCTACACCTGCAGTCCAGATTCCCCCTTTGAAATATTGATTAGATGTGACACTGATAGGAATAAGTACGTACAGTATGTTGTCAGAAAGAAACAATTCACTGGGATTCGGGCAGTGTACAAATGTAGTAAATAAATAATTAAACAACTCCCCAAAGCTGAGCTTGACTCCTGATGATGATGAGATGGACATGCCCATGTAGGTTTGTTGCCAACTGGCCATCACATTCTTTCGGTTTGCTCTTGGACCTCCTGGTCTAACCTACATAGGAGGATTTCCTGAGAGTCTCTCATCCAAGGCCAACGTGGGCAGCTATCTTTAACTTTCACTATAGTTAACAATAGCTATAGGACATTTAGAGAGCCAGTTTGGTGTCATGGTTAAGGCATCAGGCTAAAAACTGGGAGGCCGTGAGTTCTAGTCCCACCTTAGGCACAAAGCCATCTGAGTGACCTTGGGCCAGTCCCTCTCGCAACCCCAGGAGAGCAATGGCAATGAGAGAAGACAAGGGCAAACCACTTCCAAAATCTTGCCAAGGAAACTGCAGGGACTAGTCCAAGCAGTCACCAGGGGTCAAGACTGTCTTGAAGGCACCAAAGGGAAAAAAAGACATTTAAGTCATGGTGATAGCACTGGGGTGGGGAGATCCTCAGCCCTGATGACCCCATCCTAGCAGCTCCTTTTGCCATTAGAGAAGTCTGATCACAGACCCATGTTATGGAAGACCTTTTCCCTGAGTTGAGGTGACCCGCCACCTGGCTTGCTTTCGGTAAAGCTGGAAAAACCATCTTCCTCAACAGGTTTTTGGGGCAGATGATAAACCTGAGTTGCACTGGTAACTCTAGAGGCATTTGATTTGATTTGTTTTCTTAAGTAAACCACCCTGAGTCATTAAGTGCCAGGGCAGTACAGAAACAAATACATGTTGCCTTTGACCTTGGCATCACCAAGGGGCTATTGGATCTCTGCTGACCACGGTTAGGAAAGCAAGTTCTTGTCAGCAAGGACCAGCCTTGTAAAGAGAGCTATAATAATATACAATATAATAATATATAATTATATTTATATCTCAGCTACTTCCCAAGAGCTCAGCATGGTCCTTTCCTACCTATCCATTTTACCTTCACCATATTCCTATGGGTTGGTTAGGCTGTGAGAAGTCCCTAGCCCAAGGCCACGTAATGAGCTTGGTAAGCAGATGGAGTTTTAACTCAGTTGCCCAAGTCCTAGCCCAACATTGAAAATGAGGATGGACAACATTTTTAACACTGTGACAGATGCAGGGCAATTAAGAAAGGGAGAATCAGAACCTGGATTACATTCAACTGATATCATTCCTTAAGTATTTAATGAATTGCCCCTTCCATCACAAATAACCAAGCAACCTGGGAGCAACTGAAGGTTGGCGGTACACCCAAGATGTTTGGGAGCAGATGTCTTCTGGTTCCTTAGCGATGGCATCTGGGGGAGTCAGCATCATCACACCATCACACTGCTGTGCCAGTGCAATTCAAACCTCAATGTTCTGTATGTGCATTGTGATATTGCAGGTGTGCCTCCAAGAGGCAGTGCTTGTTCTTTCTGACAAAATCATTTGGAGCTTGAAGACATCCATGATCCATAATCTATACAACTTCCTGCATAACATTCCATTGTGTTGGTTCTTCAGATTTACCCAGTATGATTTGATGTGGGGAAGTCCTTCAGCAGCAGCCAAGTCAATAATGGCCGGAGCTAAACAGCTCTCAAATCTAGGCCAAGCTCTGATGTTAGTCTCTTGATTAGGGGAATCAGTGATTTCCTTCAACGGCAGCCAAGGGTGCTAATTAATAGCATAATTGCTGTTCATGGAGCAAGGAGGCATGTTCAGAAGGATGGGGAGGCAAACCATAAGGCTGACAGTGATAGCAGGGAGCAGTGTAACATCTGCATAAACACCCATCAGCAAGTAAAAGCTGGTGTGTCTGTCCCATTAAACAGAAAATATGGCCAGTAGCCAGTTTTCATTTCTCACTTCCTGGCCCCAATTCTCTGACCCTGGATTCAGACTTCTTTTATCTGTTGCCCATTTTCTTCTGGCCTTGCAGTAGGGATGTTTACTTACTTTTGCTTATTCCTATGAAGTTCCCATGTGTGATCATTTTATAAATTTTGTTTTGATCATGTCCGCAGGTCCTTTGATGGTCATAGTAGAATATTGCAAGTATGGAAATCTGTCTAATTATCTGCGAGGAAAACGAGGTGATTTCATTGTATGCAAGGTAAAATACGCACCCCAGGCATGTCAGTCCTTTAAAAACATCACATGGAAAAGGTTTCATTTCTCGTCCAAGGGAGAATTGGGTTTGGGTAAATTCAACCATGTGTGTCATCCCTTAGACATTCGGGAGACTTTTATTCAAAATGGAAAATTCATCCTTTTTTGTATTTTGCGTTAATAACTAATTGGGTTGTTGATAACAAATGAAAACACCTATACAGTATCAGCTAAAATGGACAGTGTAGTTTGAAGTCAGGGCATTGTGGTCCTATGTTGTCTCCAGGGGAGTGGGGCGGGGGCTGTACTGGGTTTTGTATTTGGGATTTTAATTCCTGTAAGCCGCCCAAGTCACCATGAGCGAGTTGGGCGGCCATATACGTTGCTTAAATAAATAAAATAAATAAAAACAGCCATTCCCTTTTGTTAACCCAGGTCTTGTGTTTAGCATGTCGTTTCAACCTGGCCGAAGAGTGATAATGGGCTTCATTATTACGTCTTTTTTTTTTCCCCTAGCCACCAGAAAATTCAGATTGCTCAGAGAAAGGATTGAAGGAGTCTATCAGTGACTTAACAGAGCTGATTAAGCGGCGTCTTGAAAGTGTGGCCAGCACTGGTAGTTCTGCCAGCTCTGGGTTCATTGAAGACAAAAGCTACACAGATTCAGAAGAAGAAGAAGAAGGTCAGTGAACACCCACCAGCCCACTTTCTGGTCTCTTTGGATTTCCAATTTTGGAGGCATACTCTCTTCTGGTCTACACCTGGGTTACTCCATCTGCAAAAGTGTGAGCAGGTTGGGGAAAACTAGACACACTCTGCCATCCTCTTAGTAATGTTCTTAGCAAAGATGGGCCACCTTTTTTTTATTTTGTAGCTTTGCATCTTGCTCCATTGGGCATCACGATATCAATAGAATGAGCAAAACCCAAAAGGTCTGCCTGTTTGGGGAGAATTGGAATTTAAGGGTTTAATGGGTAAAATGGATACATTAAGCCTTGCTTCTCCTTCCTTAACACCTTAGTCATCCCCCAAAGTTTTAAAAAGTCTGGAAAAGTTGTCCCTGCCTATTTTGGGTTATGAGGAATAAAACTATTATTGCAGGAACCCTACAGTTCATAGGCCAGAAAGAATTGTTACATCAACATTGATCAGGACAGCCCAGTATCCATTGACTCAGAAAGGTGGGAGAAAGAACCCAAAATTTAAACCTTTGAGCTCAGACCTATGTAAAAGCTTTGCATTCTGTGTACTGCAGTTGGAAAATCCTCTGTGTATACATGGCTTCATTCTATGGATGTCCACAAATGATTAAATGCAGTCTGAAAGAAAAAAATAATATGTATAATTATTTCTTCCCAGAATATAACAAGGTTAGGGCTTTGCAAACCATGCTTTAATGAAGTGCTATTTTTATTGCTTCTCTAACAACAAGATGATTTACTCATCCTTTTTCTTTATAAACACAGTGGAGTCCATTAAGTCTAGAATGTTATTTTAGCCATCATCTAAGGTCTAACTCCACATGGTTACTTTGAAATTAAAAAAAAATATATAGATCTCCTGCCATCCTATGTAGGTGAGTCTTTACTACAAAAATGTTCCTCTGCATGTCTGGCTCAGATCATCCCTTGCTTTCTCCTAGATACTGAAGATCTTTATAAGCGACCTCTGACCTTGGAGGACCTGATTTGCTACAGCTTCCAGGTGGCTAAAGGCATGGAGTTTCTGGCCTCAAGAAAAGTAAGTGTTGTCCCAAGAGTTGTCAAAAATTGTGACTGGGTTCACATGACAAGCTAGACTAGTGTTTCCCAAACTTCACAACATTCCAGATGTATGGATCTCAACTCTCGGAATTCTAAGCGATAGGAATGCTGACCAGGAGATCCAAGTCCACGCATCCTGAAAGATGCCAAGTTGCGAAACACTGCATTGGACTAAACTAAAATGGGCTTGGGTCATCATATCAATCATTATACAGTCATTTATTGGGATATTACACATTAATCCATCATCCAGAACAATTTTGGGCATGATCCTGATTTTCCTCTTTATTATTTCTAAAGCTGTATCATTATGAGTAAACGTTCTTTTAATGCCATCCAACATTTCAACAAAGCAGCAGTAAAGCTGATGGAGTTCTATTCTTCAAATTCAGACGAGAACAAATAAATATTGGGAAAAGATATTTGTATAACCACCAGCTGGGTGTGATGGAACGGGATTCAGAAGTTGTGATAATGATTTCATTAGCAAAATGCAATCCCATTTTATATTTGGAGGTATCAAAAGAGCCCTTTGAAAGTATTCTTTGTTGGGGAAGGTTTTAATGTTTCACGGAGTTCAGACAATAAGGAACCACTAAAAATTACATAAAATATAACATCCAAATGTAGGTAGACCTGTTCCTAACCAACTTGTTCCAGAGTAATGCAGCCAACCCATTAAGAGTCAAGATGTTCCACAAGCATCAAACCTGGGATGTTTCGTATACACAGCACGTGGTCTTCTTCCACAAACCCATAGTCACAGTTTTCCTTATGGCCCTCCTTAAGTTCTCTAAGATGCTGTAAGACACTGGACTACTTTAAACTGCAGAAATAAACAGAGACATCCATGGAGGTGAGGGTCAAAAGAGTCAAGATGTTGTCCAAAGCTATGTGTTCCTACCACATCCTGCTTTACATGGGTCACATCTGGGGCACATGTGAAAATGGGCAGGGCTCCAATCAGTCACAGACACCCTCTTGAGTTTTTTCAGACCCTGCTCCCCTGCAGACGCCCCTTTGGTAATAGATGAAAATCATTGACATTTTTTCCTGATCTCCTTGTATTTCTTTTTTCATTCCAGTGCATACATAGAGACCTGGCAGCCAGGAACATTCTTCTTTCTCAAAACAACGTGGTGAAGATTTGCGATTTTGGATTGGCCAGAGATATATACAAAGATCCTGATTATGTGCGGAAAGGCGATGTAAGTATGGGGCGGGGTGCTGTACGACCCAATGATGCACATTTCCCAGCTGTGTCCTTGGCCTCCTTTTGGGGCATTAATTATGAATGCTATTCATCCCTGCTCCCCAACCCCACCCCTGGGATATTGACTAGGATACCTATGCTTGGATCAGTGTATGTAATACCTGATTAAAAATTGATAACATAATTAGGTATTCTTTCCTAACCATGAGGATACCATGTAAAATGACAAAATGTGCATTACAGCATTGCAACACAAGCTCACCTTTTTCTACTTGCATCACAATGCCACAAGCAAGTACAAAAGGGGTTGAGTTTGCACAGCAACACCCAACCATGTACACTTGGCCAACCCTCCATCTTGGGTGCCTGTGACAACACAGTAACCTTGTACCCCCTGCCTTTTCCAGGCCAGGCTTCCCCTGAAATGGATGGCTCCAGAAGCAATTTTTGACAAAATTTACACAACTCAGAGTGATGTCTGGTCTTTCGGTGTGTTGCTGTGGGAAATATTTTCCCTAGGTAAGATTGCCTTTCCTTGGTTTGATTTTAGGAAGAAGAAGTACTTCCACTCAATGTGATAAAAGGAGAGTCAGAGGGGGACCTTTGCTCCTGGAAATTAACCAAAGTCACGTTTTATTATCTGAGGGGGTCCTTTTCTAGAAGGGAAGCGTCTTTTCCTTAGAAGGGCAGCAAAATCTGTGTTCCAGCCAAACCTGTTGTCAAGAGCCTCTTTCATTCATTCCCTTCATTCCTAGCCTGGAGCATTTGATGAGCGTCAACTGCTGTGGACATCCCACCCATTACAATGCCAATGTGGTTTGGTGGTGAGGGTGCTGGACTAGGTGCAGGGAGATCTGGGTCAAGTCCAGCCTCACCTGTGGAGCTGACTTGGGGTCATGGGCTATCTTTCAACCAAACAATTGTTATTTATTTACAAAATGTGGAAACCACTTCAGGCAAAGGGCCTGATTACTGTAGAAGGAATCATAGCAGCACAACCGATGTAAAGCAATGCCATCAAATACCATAAAACCTAAGACACAGCCTTGTAATCACTACTACTTGGTGGTTGGGCTCTCACATGTTCAGTCCTAGTTCTTGGCTAGCAAAAGACAGTTTGTCATTGTCACAAAAGATACTAGCTTGCTGTCCAAAAGATGGCCTGTTCACCCAGCCAGCTGAGACAAGGACTAGGTTTCCCAGAACATGACTCAAGGTGGACTCTTAACCATGGAAGCTCAGTGTGTGTCAGCCCATTACTGTGTGTGGCTTTGAAGCAGGCATACTCTCTCAGCCCAGCCTACCTCACAGGTAGGATAAACATCTAAAATATGCACATCCAGTGTCATGGTTTACTGTGTAATGGCCACTGACTGCAATAAAGGTTCTACTCTATTCCATACAATTAATCAACATTGCATGGATCTACATAGCCTAACCATTTCTGAGTTGGGTTAAATCTATAAAGAAATGTCTTTTTTCTCTCAAAGATAAATTAGGAAGGATGCTGTTTGAGCAAGCTACTTTCCTGTTGTTACTAAGATACTTGGTGGACATTTTGGCCCATAACTGTTTCCAAAGCTGATGTTTGAAATCTGGGTTAGAGTGAGAAACTTGAACCACCGTTTCTTGGTATTGAAGATTATGGAGGAAAACTCACTTTTATGTTGGCAACTTGTAACCATAGCTTCTCTGGCTTTTTAATGGGAGAAAACATCTCCCACACAAGAGACCTCCTGGTTCATGGTTTGCCATGGATCTCATTCCCAAAGACTTTCCTGCGTACCTTTCACAAAGATAAAAACTATCCTAGAGAAACACAGAGGGTGGGAGAAGAGGGAATTCTGCACTTATGCTAATCTTTGTGGTGTCCTTTCTTCTCCAACAATTCTTCCCAAAACGCTGACCCTCCGAAAAATGAAACACCCACAAGACCACATGCTGGCTGACGTTCCCATCATGGAAATGTGGGAACCCAGCCAAACTTTGCATATTCTTTTGGCAGAACACAGATCAAAGTAGGGGAAGGAGAAAACTTGCAAGCCACAGACCACTTGGAATGGAGACTTCTACCCTTCTGTGGGCAGTTCTAAGCAGCCAGACCCTTGTGAAAGTTGAAAGCTTTCAGGATGTTTTTTTAAAAAAACATAAATGGTCACTTCTCGGTCACATTAGTCACTGAAGGCTTTCTTAAGTCAATCTTTTGCTGTACAGTTGCAATGGGGGGGGGGGGGGATACCAGATCTGAGCTGCAAGAATCTAGGTGGCCATAAGATGTCAGCAAAGAGTTCTCTGTATCTGGGATTTTGTATCCCATCAATTCCAATGTACTTTTGTGGTTCAAGTATTGATGTTGACCTGGAGGTCACCAGCTGATCTGGGGCCAAGAAGGATTCTTACACTGATAATGCAGCTGGTGGCCATTAGCTCATGAAACCCAGGTGCAGAATGGCCTGCCTTCCCAGAACGTATTGGCAATCCTACCCCATATGCCGGATGTGGAAGAGGAGGAATACCGGAACCTAACAGCTTGGAATTGCCTATATATAAGTTCCAGCTTTGAAAGGAAAGTTACTTGCCAGAATTCTTGTATTTTCCTTTCATCCTTTTTTCTTAATAAGCCTTCTTGATGAGAATTCAGGGTGAATTAGCCTTTGGCTGTTCTTTAGACTGATGGTTGCTAAAGAGGTCTGACAATTCTCTCCTTAGCCCAGCTGGGCATCAGAAACATCTGCGAGGGAGTCCAAAAAGAGTAAAGATAGCTGTGAGTGCACAATCAATGTCCTGCCCCCTTTTTACATGTTTGGGCACAATAGAAAAGGGGTGAATCATAAGGTCACAGGCACCATCTTTACCTTTTTATCCCTTCCCTGTCAACCTCCTTATTTAACATCTCCCGGAAGCAAGTTGGGGGGAATCAGTGAAACAAATATAGGTGAGTCCTGTTTGAAAGAATTTGCAGATGTCAAGCAGGTCAGAGCTATGGATTTAAATCCTTCAACAGACTGGAAGTAATGAAGCCGGTCTGTTACAGTTCCTCAGTCAAACGTATTCACAGACTGGAGGTGGTATTAATCTGGAAGGGAGCCCGGTATACGAGCTTGAGCAGATCAGGGAAGGGAATACAATAAATAAATATGGAGCTATGCTTCCTGTCCCCATGGGGGTCACAATCTAAAAATAGGGAAAAAACAGGAAGGGAGGGGAAGGTGGCCGATCAAACAGGAAAGGGACATGTGACGATTGTGGTTATCTATGTTTCAGTTTTGTAGGTGGAGAGCCGTGTTAATCAGTGGTGGCAGAAAATCAGGAATCTGGTAGCCCCTTCCCCAACTAACAAATTGTATTAAGAGGGAGAAGCATTGATGAGCTGCAGCAATTAATAAAATTTGTTAGCCGGAAAGGGTGCTACTAGACTCTCCCTTCTTCATATTCTTCTAGATCAATGATTCTCAACCTTGGGAACTTTAAGACCTGTGGACTGCTGGGGAATCCTGGGAGTTGAAGTCCACAGGTCTTAAAGTTCCCAAGGTTGAGAATCACTGTTCTAGATCATGCTTAGTGTTTGTCATTGTCATGATACCCTGATCAAGTGAGCTCCAGCTCCTGAATTTAATAAAATCTATTTGTCAGGAAAGGCACTGCCTGACTCCCCCAGTGTTTCAGCTTCAGTTTCAGAAAATGATGGAGCAGGGGCTGTGCATTAATCTTAAAAGAGAACGGAGAAGGGATTGCATGGAGTTTGAGACGTTAGTTTTTTGCCTGAGAGGAAAAAAAGGTCTCAGGAAGCCCGCAAAGCTATAGTGATGGAAAGCAATGGACATCCATTTTCCCTGTATTTTCTCTGAAAGTATTGAAACAAGCTGCTCTTCTACCTGTCATGTTTTAACACCAACAGCAGATATCCCTTGCCCAGCTTCATTTCTTTCCTTTCGGCCGGCCTCTTGCTTTTAATTTTGCATCTAACTTGAGTAAGAGCTCTGTGATGAAGCCTTGTGGTCTTCCGTTGATCTTAAGTGATGCCGTGCAAGCACTGAGGAGGAAGGGGAAAAGAGAAAAGAAGAGAAAAGAAGAGAAAAGAAGAGAAAGAGATCTCTGCTTTGGACCCGCTCAAGGCCAAAGTGCAAAATGCAAAGGAAGGAAAAGGGTTTCAGAAGCAGCTCTTCTCTGCTTGATAAAAGAACAGTGAGGAAGGAGCATCAGCAAACATTAGCTGGAGAAATGTTATTTTTGCACAGCGATCCCTTTTTAAAAAGGAAAGCGCGTCTGTATTTTTTGACCCAGGCCTAAGGAAATTGCTTGTGCACTTGGGAACTTTCTACCTTGACGGAAAACTTTCCACATCTTTGGACTGATGTGCACTTTGGCCAACAGCGGTGGAGTCTGAAGTGCACCGTCTGCTTACACAAGGCGCTGGCTTGGCTTCTTGGCCTTGTTTCCTTGTGCAAACGGAGAGTGGGGCCAACTCTGTACTCTAGCTGAGGGGGAGATCTGCAGTGGGGGCACCTGTGGCGGGGTCAAAAACATCAAGATGGCTGCTGCAAACATGTCCTGCTCCTTTTTGTATCCCTGATCTGCTGTTCATGACCTTGTGGGTGGTCCCTCTAATAAGGCGTGCTTGTGTTTTTCAACATGGGAATCTCTCTAGAGTAGGCTATCCATTTGCAGGAAAACCCTAGGACACCCTTCCGCAGTGTAGTAACTTGTAGATATTTGGGGGCTGTAATTCCTGATTCTTAACTCCCAGAATTCTCAGGCAGGTTTTCTGGAGAATGTCATCTGAAGAGGGCTGCTCTAAGATTTCCAAAGCCTCGCCCAGGGCCTACACAGAAAACACTGGGCCCCCTTCCTCAGCAAACGAGGTGTAGGAAGTGTTCCCAGATGGGAAATCATGGAAGTAAAAGCACAGAGCAAGGAGCTGTTTGGCCACGTTTTCTCCTCTTTGAAAAGTAAGGTCTTCTCCAAGTCAAGGTCAATTCCTGTGACTTCATCGCTATAGCCATTGTAGTTTCCGTGGCGACAGTCTGGATGAGTTTTGCCTTTGCCTTCTTCCAAGATGTTTTCCCCTTTTGCAATCTAGCCTGCGTTCCTCGGATTTGCTGGTGGTTTCCCATCCAAATCCTAACCAGCCCCCTTCCAAGTATTAACTCTGCTTACCTCTCAAGATCGGCCAAAGTTGTCTCAGTGCTGCCACCTAGATGCTCACTCCACATCTGGAGACCCACACAGACTTGGAAGAATATTCTGGAGACAAATGACTTAAATAAGGCAACATTTTTACATTTGTCTTAATCTATTCAGGCAGACGGTAGTTAACTGGAAAAAATCAGGTCTCTGACCTCCTCATGTAGTAGCTTCAATGAAAAGATGACATGCCTTGCCAACAGAGCTCTTTCTGAGCAATTTGCTTAGAGTTGCTTTCATTTTAAGAAAACTCCTCTCCAACCAAAATGCTTAGCTGAGGCAGCAGGCTCTTTTTTCAGATGAGAAAAGCATTGGATCTGGCCCAGTATGTCTTC